GAATTAATATAAATATAATATTTCCTCTTTTTTGTATTATGATAGACCACTTTATCCTCGAAGGTTGGTAAAATCTATACTATTGAACAGTTCATTTTCTAATATTATGCGAAGAATAATAGTACAGAAAAGTGAAGAAGTAAAGGACAGTTTAAGAACTAAAACAGCAGCAGTAAAGTAAAGTTCATAAATGTTTGCATAATTTAGTTTTGATAGTATTATTCTTTGCAATGAAAAATTTTGTTACAGAGATTTCAATCTTTTATCATTTGGTGAAACAGCAGAGGAAGATGAAGTAGAATCTGTGATATTAAATAAAAAGTTTAGCAATACGGGAAAATCAGCTCATGATCATTTAACTTGTCCAAATTTGAGCTCATAACCAGCTGTTAAACCACCTGGACTTGCAAATAAAAAAGGGAAGGAAGACTATAGTAGCGATTGGGAAAGTGACAACGAAGTAGAAACTCAAGAAGAATTAGAAGTTATAAAGAAAGAGAAAGAGTTAGTTTATTGTTTACATTGTAACTATATTATAGAAATTAGGATTTTTTATTTACGGTCTTATATTTATAGATACCTCTTCTAATTATGTGCTCTTAATATATCTTAATAAATCAATTCGGTAACAGAAAATTAATAAAGTTGTAAGTTTCTGTACTTAATTCATGAACATTTTTTGCTGCACAGCATAGTTGGAATTATAGCAACATTCTTATACAATGTTTAATTTAATAATCAATACTTACATGAGCAATGGGTTTTGTATCTAATGATGATTGTATGGGTCCTGTGTCTAATGATGATTTATATTTTTGTTTTCTTTCTGTAGTAAATAAGACTACTATAGAAAAGTGTTTTTCTTGCATAATATTCTTATTATTTTGTAATAAATATGTACTAACATAAGAAAGCGTAAAAAATAAATATTTTTATTAAGAAATTTTATTTACAACTGTTTATTTACAATGGTTTCATAAGCGAAAAATGAATACAAAATAAAAAATAGATTGTAAAGAAACTTTAAACCTATGGACTGGAAATTGAATCTTGGTCATCCAGCATAGGAATTCTCAACTGTCGCCGTCATACTACGACTCTACTTGAAAATTACTGGAATTAAATCTGTAATTAAAGAAGTAATAAAACTTTAATCACAAATATCTCAAAAATTATTGACTATTTGCGGCTATAATGATATATATTTTTGAACTGCATGACGAGATCTATAAACCTGTAAGGTTTTAACTAAATTGGTGACCCGAAGGACTTGCACTCTCCTTGTTAGACATTTTTCGCTCCTATTTAAACGCCGATTCGTTTCCCCCCATTTCAATCGGGACGCGATAATCGCGAATATACAAAACGCAGCTAAATAAAAAAGTAAATTCGCACTTGCTTTTCATCTACAGCCATATACGATAGGAAACGTTTTCTCATAAGTGGCTGTTTCGATGGCTGGACTGTAAACTTGCCACTATTCGAGGGAAATACGTATTTCCAACGATTCGCATCAAAACGGAACGCATAAAAAGTAACATTATAGGCGTTAGCTTTATGCGTTGGCTTCATCAGACCGCTCCAGAAATTACTGTTCAATACAAATTTCTATCTTTAATATTCATCGGATAATTCTTGTAGAGTTCTCTTATAAGAGAGAAAGAAAGGAAGAAGAAGAGATAACAGGAAAGGAGAGAGGATGAGCATCAACGGAATATAGATTTTTATACAATTATTTATTGTTTAACTTATTCTATTTTCCTGTATAAAAAGAAAAAATAAAATTTCTTATTATAATATACGACGAGAATGCTTTGTTAAACGTAAGTAAATATGTACTATTTCTTTTACATTCTGCAATAAATCGTCCTCATACAACAATTTTATTCGTGATTCTTTTTCAGGTTATTTTAAATCGAGTGTTTCTCCAATTGTTCTTTTTCGAATGTTATATTCGAAATACATATATCGTGATTTTAAACACGATTTCTTTGATTCGCTTGAAACAAAATTAAAGCCGATATCACAGTTGATACGATTTCCATAAAATCAGAAGACTCGCTAGTTGCGACTTTTTTGTTCGGATTTTTAAATAGTCGAACATTTCATATATAGAAAGCTACCAACTCATCATTTAATTTGTGGTTTCATTTTCTCTGATCTTTTTTCTTTGTTTATTTTCTGGCACACTTCTCCTTCTACTCGTTTTAATCACATTCTTTCTTTTACTTGATAGTACTGGATATTCCTTCTTTAATCCTAGGCTGAATTTCTATCTTGATTTTGATTTCGAAATCAAGGGTGTTCCAGTTCTTTTACTGGTTCAACATTGCGATTACTTTCTATGAACTTGCTGACTCGAACATATGTACTTACATATGTATATTTTGTAACATATATTTTTGGAGGAATATTAGCTATTATATTTATGATAACCAAATTTATTTCTTTGCAAATATAATAAGAAAAATCTTGTAATAGTTTATATTTTCGTGAAATATCTAATTATTCGAGAATATATTAAATGATTACGATAACGATGATGTTATTCCTCTTTACAGACAAAGATGCTGCCACCTGTCGGTAATGCTTAAACACCATGTGTACACACGCAAAGTAATGTAAGACGCAAGCTCGTGTAAGTAGATAGTGATGAAATAAAATTTTAAAAAGAAATTTTTTTATGATTCAAGAATATCTAAAAAAGAACAAATGGCATTCTACGATAATGAACATTGGCTTTTATCACACATCAGAGATAGTTTTTTATCAACAGACAACACAGGTACATGATAAATTTTGTTTAGGTTAAACATTAAAGTAATATTTAGTATATTCTTAATGAACTTTAAACTTGGTACTTTTAAAAGGCCAATGCGAGATGGTGATGCTTGGAGAAGATATACCTAAACAACTAAAGTCAAATGGTATGTTACAATGTTATCCTGGTATGGAAGAAAGCGACGATGAAGATTTGGATGTCCTTGCAGAATCTTATGACATACAAATGGGTAAGTTTTTTTAAAAAAAGCATAGAACCATTTTTTGTTTTTATAAAAAATAATATCGTTTGAACCTATAACTATAATGAGAAGAAAAAAAAATTCAGAAAATCATTTGGAATTAATATATCTGCTTTAAATCTGTGTTTTTTATATTAATACAGATATAGAATACAGTCATAGAGAACATACTAACACTGCCCAAAGGTTAGAGAAAATGGAGCTTGAAAGAAAAAAAGCTGCTAAAGTCAGTGTAAAGTGGAAAAATGATTCTGTTGTACCAATTACTCAACAATCAGACTTGTTTCAGAGGAAAGATTTCCGTAAAAAGACTAGCCAAGTTAAAAAATATTCCCTTTTATCTGAACAACTTGAAAAATGTCCAAATGTACCACAAAATCCATTCATAGAATATGCTAAGTTCGATGGTAGTGTATGTATCGATAAATCATAAAATTAAATGACAATGATATTTGACGATACTATTTATATAAATTTTATTATAGGCACAAGTAGATATTCCAATACGAAAATACAGAATATTTATGTGTATGTTACCCAAAAAACAAAGAATGTATCCCCTTCAAGTAGTTGTACTTTCTACAGCAAAAGTGTTAGAATTCATTGGATTAATCTGCTATAAATATGCAAATGAACATCCAGATTATCCTTTAAAGTGTGAATTCCTTTTAAAAAATTGTTCATATTTAATCAGTCTTTTATCAGTGAGGAATACATTGCTATTTTAATGTTTTTAGAGATGACATTACAAGATATGGCTTATATTTTACTGAAGATGATGGAGAAGTTGATTGGGATTTACCCTGTTTAGACCCTAGGGAAACAATATCCAAATTTGAATTCACAACGTTAGGTCTTGCAGAAATGAAACCATGCGATAGGACGCGACATAATATGTTTAATTGGGTAGAATTAACGAATGAAGAAGATTTTCTAGAAGGTCAAAATGAAGAACAAGCAGAAGTTGCTAAAGATTTAGCTAAAATGGAGGGACATACAACTGCTATGGAAGCTCCATTATATCAGTCATACAGGTATTTTATACATACTCAAATTTATGAAATAATTTATAACTAATGTGTAATATTTTATATAGGGTATACATAATTAACAAAGTCCGGACAAAAACTGAAATATGTTTAGGAATATCTGGTGAAAAAATTGAAATCAATCCAATAATAACAGGAAAAGGTGCAGGTCGTTTTTGGAATAGACAAAGAGCTGTTAGTTATCAAATAGACAATATTGCCTGGTGTGAAATAACAGAAACAAAGGGATCAAAAACAATTTTTACATTAGTTTATACACCGCATTCTTCTACTTCTGAAAATATTTTTGGTTTGTTTAGTTCATGCATATGTGTAATACATGTATCATATGAGCAAGTTATCTGATAGTTTCAAAAATATCATTTTTTTGCAGTATCATCTGGCCAAATGCATTCTCTGCATCAATCTGCATCATTTAAAAATCACGAATTTGAAGCCGATTCAATGACAGCTGAAGAAATTGTCAGAAAAATAAATCACATATTGGAATTGCATAATAGTACATCAAGAAAAGAATATTTATCTCAGAAGGAAAGAAAGGCAGCAAGGCGAAAAAGTTTTCATTTGCATAGATGACAGCTCTATTGGTTTTTAAATTCTATTTTAAATTATTTAAAGCATTAACTATGTTAATGTGATAAGGACAGAAACAAGTGTTTCCTTTCATACAAATATAATGTTATTATCATTCTCATAGCATGTCATATAGACATACCAAAAATTCCTTATACAGTGATATTATTTGTTCTGTTATTTATTTTTATTTATAATACAAATAGATGTATATGTAAAATATGAATTAATTTTATATAAAACTAAATATTTGTTTATTTCATTCATCTGTAATTATACTGTTAATAATTAATCTCATAAAACGATTGTGTATTTAAATTATAAGTGATTTTACTTTAAAAATTATTTGTCAATGTCATGAATCTGATTTTTCAATAATTTTGTCAGTAAGTTTACGTAGTTTTCTTTCCATTTGCAAAATAAATTTTTCATTTAATTTGTATACCAGTTTATGTAACACTGATATTTGTACAACTGTGTCTGACAGCTTTTTATAATTTTTATAAATGATTTGATAATTTGGTCGTTCTCCGATAAAGACTTTTTCACACTCTGTTAGAATATTTAAATCAATAGGTTGACCTTGATTTTCTAAACACAATTTTTGTTTTGCAAGATTCTTTCGCAGCGTCCTTCTTTGTTTTAAAGTCTCTATCCAACGTCCGATATTTTAGATACACATCTTGCTGCATCTTTATCATCAACCATCTTTTCATTCTCTGAAAATTGTGTACGTTCAATTATAAAATATTAATTATTAACATTAATTAAAAATACGTTTCTAATTATTTCACACTTAGAAAACCTAACAAAACGACACTGACATTTAGATGTTACGATATAAAACAAAATATATTAACTAACCTTCATCATTGTCAAACACAATTGTACGACTTTGAAAAACAGAAGATCGTCGTTTATGTACAGCATTTTTATCTTTTAAATCCTTGTCTAAATGTGAAACATCTAATGAATAAAGACTATCCATTCTAACAATTAACCCTATTTTCTGTACAAAAACAGTTTACATTCAAACAAAGAGTTAATTCAATTTCAAATCAACCAATCATGTTACGATGTCAAATTTCACATGATCATATGAAACTATACCAAAAATCATGTAAAACGTGTATTTGTCATTTTCGTATTATAATTTTAAATAAAAGTTTTCAAATGTATTCATATATATATTATATTGTACTACACGTGTAATATATTAATTACATTTTTTATTAAAAAGAATTTAAAAAATTAATTACTTATTAATTAGAAAATTAAATAAAATTTATTTTTTATTTAAAAACATGAATAGGATCATTTTATATTTCTCTAATGCTTTTATATTTTTTCGAAATTTCGAAATATCGCATATATCGTACTAATTAAACATTTGATATAACAGTAAATAAATGTTTAGGTATTTCGATACTTTATTAACATAACAATTTTCTACTTCAGAGAAGTGTTCCAAACACATTTCACGATGTATGATAGTATGAATTTTCTTTAATCACTGTAAGGTAATTCAAAATGAAAAGTATATACTTACACTATACAGTAAAATTTTGAGAACCCTCCAGAAATTTCTACCGAGTATGTAGCCAAATGGTACCTACATTGTATGTCGCAGTCAATTCTCATTCGTCGAAACGTGTTGTCCCGATCTAACGCAGAAACTTCGAGTTTTATCATTTGAACATTATTATTAAAGAAATAATTAAATATCGAATTTCCTTTTCTTTGTTATTAAACAATTAAAAATTTTTGCTTGTGATTATATTTTAAAGAAAGCGATGTCGACAAAAGCTGATGAGGTAAGTAAAATAGATTTTGATCTATACAATTACTTTATAATAAAATAATTGCTGAGATACTGTTTACAATAAAATTATTATGCACGTAACTATGCATATTTATATATGCAAGTTTGCGCGGAATGAAGGAAATTTTATTAAGATATAACCTATAGGGAAGACAACCATATTTTATTTTACAGCTAAAATTGGATATCGAAGAATTAAATAATTTACTTTTAAAAACGAGTCGTCAAAGAAGCAAAGATGTTCTTAATCTTGAAATTAAGAAATTACAAACAGAGTTAATAAAATTAACAGAAGAGAATAAAACATTGGAACCAAAACCAACTAGTTCAATATCTAATTCTCCCCAAAAATTTTATGAAGTTAAACTTTATAACTATGGTTGGGATCAATCAGGCACAATGATAAAATTGTATGTTACATTAAAGAATGTACATCAACTGCCTAAGGAAGCTGTGTCTTGCAAATTTACTGAGAAGTCTTTAGATCTTCATGTTGTTGGATTGGATAATAAAAACTATAATTTAGCAATTAACAATTTATGTGAAGATATTGATCCAGATAATAGCACTGTCAAAATCAAAACAGATACATTGGTCGTATCTTTGGCTAAAAAGATTGCCAAACATTGGTCACATGTGACAGGAGTAGAAAAAAGAATCAAAGAATTAAAAAAATCTGCAATGGCAGGCACTGGTGAAGATGATAATTTGGGTTCAAATTTCATGAGTTTAATGCAGAAAATGTATCAAGAAGGAGATGATGAATTAAAGCAGAAAATAGCCAAAATTTGGGCAGAAGGTCATGAGAAAAAGTCATCAAGACTATAAAATAATATTCTTAATTTGTTAATTTCACGTTTAATAACATAAACTTATTATATTATAGATTATTAATATACAAAACAAATCTAGATCTATCTATCGAATGTAATAAGTATAGAAGTGCTAAGTATATGTTTTGTATATGTTCAGTTTAAATATTGCTTTTATAGAAAAAAAACGTTTTCATGCTTATCTTGTAAATGTTGCCAAATTAATGTATTATTGATCATACAAAGAGATTGTTTATTTTAATTATTGGTAATGTATGTATTTTATAATTTTTTTGCAACAATATCAGTAACATTATATATTAATAATGTAATTTGTGATTATCTGTAAAAATATTTTTCTTATGTTTGTTATTTGTTTACATAGCATAGGGTAATTTACTTCATATTGTATACTATCAATTTTAACTGCTCATAATAAAAATTATGTAAAAGAATGCTTGAACAATTTTATTTACTATTTTTACATTGGTCATACAAAATTTATACATTTCTACATGTAGAATATATGTAGAATTTTCTTACTTATGTTTTTTATAAAATTTATAATTAACACAGTTTGTGTAAATATACACAGCTGCATACTTAAAAAGATATTAAAAATTTCGCTATGTTAACTTTATGTCCTTCATTGCTATATAAACATTAAATTATACTCAGTAATAGATAAATTAAATATTATTACTTACTTTATTTATTTTTACATCATTGTTTTTTTATTTTTACAAATATATTGATATTAGTATTTAAAAATCTTAATACAATATTGAGTTTTCACATTTATAAAAATTGTTTAATTACAAACTTCAGAATATATGTATATGTAATTTTTTAAAATATTTTTTTAATATTGAAAAATTCCTTCAATTATAATATAACAATAGTATTTTAATCATTAAAAAACATAAAAACGTAATATAATCAATACAATTTAGTATTCAAATATTAGGTAACCATAAATATATATTATAATTTGACTATTTATCAGGTATTAGTTTTATGGAAGTAATACGAACAAGTTATATTTTCTTTAACTTTGGTAGCTAATTATATATAAAATGAACAGTATATTGAAACAAGGCTTTACCATTACGAATTGAGGTTATAATTCTTAGATTACATTAATAGTTACAATAGTTCCATTTTTTGTTAATTGACAATGTAAACTGAATTACAAAAATATATAGTAAGTGGAAAAAAAATAAATATAATATGTACAAACTGTGTAAAATATATAATAGTGAATATATAAAAATATACATTAGTATATCAAATTTCACGTAAAACATAAAAAAGACGTATACTTCTCATACAGCGTAATGTGTTATTTAGAATGAAATTTGCTATTTTGAAATGTATATTGCAGTATTGTCTAAATAATGTTTTCATCAATTTTTATACATCATAAATAATTTCATTGTCTAATATTTTTAATTTAAAAGTACAAAAATTCAATATAATATGTAATTAGCATTATAATATTCTAACTTTGCATATAAGTATAATTAACATATATGAGGATGGTTAAGCACAAATAAGGATTAAAACATTTAAAAATTCTCACAAAATTGTAATTTAACATCACACTCATAAGATTTCAACTGAGATTTTTCATGTAATAAATGGGTCTTCTAGCAGAATTGTTCAAATTACTTGTAAAGTGGAAATTATTATTTATATCTAAATATTTTTATCTTTATAGAAACTGTTTTATTATTTTATACATGTATAAAATTCATAAATTTTATATAAAGATGTATTGTGACTCACATGTATTTATGATATTAAAAAACATCAATTGTTAGAAAATTTGTTAAAAACAAATAAGGTAATAGTATAAAACTATTATTAATAATAAACAATACAAAATGTGAATATTATTAAAGTTAAAATGCAAATATAATATCAGATTTGGAAATGAAATTAAAACAAGGAAAATGAACATGAATTGTAATTAACAGATATCATATACTTCATAAAACATTAAAATATTCAAATTTATTGAAATAATGATAAATAAAATAGAAAAAACTAGTCTTTGGTTTACAAACTGAGACTTAGTTATAATCAAAATATCAACAATAAAATTTTTACTCAATTTACCATTAAATTTTAGGAAGTAACTGAAGTACTTGAAAATTGTACTTCATGACTAGTTGCATGAAAAACTTCCATCATAATATTTCGTGTTTTTTGCATTAAATGTTCAACATCATCTGTCTTTAATCCCTCTGTAGATATTGGAGGTAATGATGTTATAATAACCTGACCTTAAGATTATCAATTCATAGTTAATATTTGTTATTAATATTTGTATTCGAACAAATGTTAGTATTTATGCATGAATAAAACTTACCAGAGTCAAATCTCTTTTCTTCAGAGGACAAAAAATAATAAGAGGAAAATACAACTGGTAATATGGGTAATTGAGAGTTAATTGCAACATGAAAAGCACCCTTTTTAAATGGATGAATTTTACCAGTATTACGTCTAGTGCCTTCAGGGAATATCCATAATTTAATCTACATAAAAGACATGTAAAGATGAATATAAGCAACATTGAAAATTGCCTTTGAAATTCCTATATTATGTAAGAGAAATTACCTTTTTAGCTTTAATATGATTTGTGGCAGTATTAATAACTGAACGAGCTTTCTCTGAATTCATTCTATCTATAAATATCAATCCACAAAACCAAGCAGCTAAACCAAATGGCCATGCATAAAAAATCTCTTTTTTTCCTACAACTGTACACTTTTCCATTATTGGCCATATTTGGAACATTCCCATTACATCTAAAGAACTTTGATGATTTGCTACTATTATACATGCTCTTTCTTGTTCTAAATGTTCTTTTCCCCTCAATTCCCAACGTACTCCCAAGAAGTTAGTAAAACAAGAACACACGGATGATGCTAATCTAAAATTATATTTCGTATGTTACTTACAATTAATAAAATGCTATTAGTTAATATAATTAAGATATGATATACTATGTTAGTAATAAAATTATTATAAAGTGGTAGAGTATTTTATAATTTGTAAAAGATATGGCATATAATTATAATAAATTTTGGTTATTCTTTTGTTATACATTATTTTTTGTATATTATAAAAATAAAACATATAATATATAA